ACTTCAAGAAAGTGTCCTTCACGATCTGGGTAACTACTAATTTTTTTTTTTAATTTTGTATACCCTTTATATTTAATGATATAAAAATAAAATTCATTTAATTTACATATAATATCTTATAACTCTTGAATTGTATGATTAAAATTAACTGATACTAATTAACTCTTAATAAATCTTGTTCATCATTGTATAATATAATTCAATTCAAATTGATCTATCTAATTTTGTTTCAAGTAGTAATTCATTAATTTTTTTTTTCATCTACCTAAATCAAATTTCTTCCAGGAGTTGGGAAGCCCCTTTTAATTTTTACCTTTTCACTAATATGGCTGAGGTACATAACACGAAAAAAACAACATAATTCAAAGTATCCCATCATCAACGGGATGCTTTAAATAGTGTTTTAAAAGAAAAAAAGATAGGGATCAGGATAAGTGTAGACTCAACATTAATGCAATATGGATACCCATGAGTTTCCATCAAACTCATTAGTTTTTATAACACATTGATTAATAGATAATTAACCGATAACTCGTTAGTGCTGTCTTTAGTCATATAGTAGAAAAATAACAAATGTCTTTGTATATGCTTACAGTCATTAGTGTAATATAATTAAATCTTCGTGATACAATTTTTTTTTCGATTACTCAACATTTTATAATTCAAGTAAAAATTAAAAGCAGAAATGATGGTTGCACAAAGTCTTAAAAAAACAATCTATCAATAATCAAATGTAGATTCATTTGGAAATGGCTGAAATTGTATCATCCAACACCTTTCCAAACTTATATAAATTGTTGAACATAACTTATACAATTCCTATTAGCAGTGCTATTTGTAAAAAAGCATTCTCTTCTATGCTGCGGGAATAAAAATGACTACATTCAACAATGTCACAAAACTGTTTTTAAAATTTAGCATTATTAAGCATACAAAGAGAATTAATTTAAGTTTATAAATTAAATGTATTATGAGCAATAAAAATAACTAATTATGTACATTTATAATCAAAATAATAAATGTTTATAATATATTAATCCTAAGAGAAAATTATTTTACCAATGGCCAAGTATAAATATATTCATTTGTATATGAGTCAAAAATGTGTTAATTAATTATTAATAATTAGATTTAGTACAACGTATAAAATATAAAATATAAATATTCTTATAAAGTTTTATATTAATCTGTACAAAAAAACAAATATAAAATTTGAAGTATTATTTTTACATCAAAATATGAATGATATTTTTCACTTTTTAACTCAATAGTTGATGCTGCTAGGCAAATGGCTTTGTAGCTTGGCATTTAAAAATGTAGCCTTACACTGCGTACATGTTAATAGAACAAATATATTTAATATACAAGTATAGAAAAATAAAATAATATTTCTTATTCTATCATTTGCCTTGTTAAAGTTGTAGGCCAGTCTGGAACATAGCTTTCATTAATATAATTTTCTCTGGTTTGTGAAAGTATGTTTAAATTATTTGTACAACCAAATATTGATCCTTTAAAAAAAAGAATAAAAACAAGTTAATTTATTATAAAATAAGAGAACAACTATCAAATATGTACCTCCAAGCCATGCAATATAATTTTCAGAAGCAGGTGGTATGTGAAACTTGAAATTTTTAATTTTTAAATTTTTATAATTGGGTGATTTCAGCTTTTCTAATAATTCTTCTTTTAATCTTGCCATAAAACCTTTAGCCATTACTGTTCCACCCATAAGAACAATATTTTCAGCAAGCTTTAAACGTGTATCCACATTACTCTGAAGACAAAATAATTACATTAATAAAATACTAATACTTAGATTAAAATATGATTAACTAACATTAACTATGGCCTCAAGTATCATAGTAGTTATGGACATATTATCAATGTTTTCTTCAAACAATACATCATAAGCTGTTTCCCTAATATCTCCAGGTATTTGTATAGATCTCTCTCCGTTTATATGATATTCAACACTTGTAGTTTTTGGTTCAACAGTGTTACCCGACTCTAGAATTTTGCTACGTTTCAAAGTGGTAACAAAACAGGTTCTTGCTGGACAAACATAAAAACAATTAATTTAAAAAAAAAAAAGAAAAAAAAATGTAAGCTATATAATTACATTTTATATCTTCAGCAATACTGTCTATTGATTCATCTGGAGATAATTGACCTATATTAATACGAGTTTTAATTATATTCTCCACAGCTTCTCCAGCCAATGGCATTGTTTGCCACAATCTAAGAACAGGTACTCCTTCACAAACAGGTATAAGAATAGCTTCTTTATATCCTACATCAAATACCAGTGCTGTAGAAATACCAAGTGTGAATAAGGAAGCACAATGAGATGGTACAAAACACAAAGATGCAACCTATATAATAACATTATTTTTAATCAAACTATTTTATTTTGGTAAATTATAAAATCTTACTTCATATGTTATGAACAAAACCTTTGCTAGTATTTCTTTAAACTTTGTTGGTGATAATAATGATTCAACGATTATTACTTTTTTATCCTTAGGAGCAATAAGAGCATGTCTGGAAATAAAGTTATTTTTGACAATGGACATTAATCTTAATATGACAAATATACATTACTTGTAAAATAATATATGAATGAAATTTGTTAGAGCTAAAGTAAGATTTTGTGCATCTTTACATTTATATATGTCAGGGATAGGTATTCCGTCAATTTCACAACAAGTTCGTATTATACATCTAGGTGAATGTTCAGTTGCAAATCCAAATCTAAAAAAATAAAATTAATATATTTATCTTTAATCTCAAAATTGATCTTCTGAGCACAGGTCACTAGTAAAAATTGGAGGAATGTGGCCCACCAAAAACTATCTTAATATGGTGTAAACATATCTAATATTATGATTCACTTGTTTATTTATACACAAATTTTTTAAACAAGTCTTCACTATTATTCCATTATTAAAAAATCTTTTTAATATTATGTTTTGATGCAAACAAGTGTAATTTAATATAACAATTTATCGATGGAAATATTTCATATTCAAGTGTAATGCTGAAAGATATTCTCTCAAACTTGCTTATAAGTAATATGTTAAGATCAATATAACAATGTGAAGGTTTTATTGATTTATTAATATTATGTTCAAAGCCAGATTTTACACAAGATTAATTATTATTTATTTCAGTATGGACATTTTTTCACTCATCAAGATAAGTATGAAGACAAGGTAACGGATATAAAATTAGTTCACTTACTTTGTGTACTTAGTGCCAATATCGATAACAATACATTGTTTTTCGGGTAAGAAATCCGAATCGAGTTTCATTATTTGGCCAGTGACGACAAGACTAGTATTTATTAATGATGGTAACTTAGCAACTTTACAAAAATTGAATTAAGAGTTTAATGCACAGCGAATAGTTCTCTTAATCCTAGCAAATGAAATCACATAATAGGTCTTATCACACTCACACCAATTCAATGTGGTTCCTTATCAATAAAAATTATGTATTTGCGTTGATCATTTACATAAAAATAATAAATTTATTTTTCACAGATCGGGGATTTCGGATACGTATTATATTATTTTTCAGATGCCACTGATGACATCTAAGTATTTGATACGGTTATTTTTAATTAAATTGATAAAAAATCAACGTGATAACGAATATCAAACAAAAAATAACGTTCCCCTTCAAATCAAATAAACCGGAAGATAATGTTTGAAAGCTTACAAGTTAACTGTAATCATAAACATAATATGTGCCAGTTATAATTTATCTTGCGCGGTCTCTCCGACAATACATGTTGATATATATTTAACACCGCAACCGTGAAAATATAATACTGATATTTCGTCGTTCCTGAAACCTAAGAATTACGATTTTCGTGACCGATGTGTAAATATTTCATAATGTTCTCCGTTGTTCGTTGAATTATTTGGTAAACCTTTATTATAATTGTTCGTGTATCAACACTTTAACACGTTATCGCGGTACGTATTGATAACGGCGTGCGGATCAACAGCGTGGCCATGGTCACGGGATCAACAAAATCGTGGCGCTCGGTTGGCGACAATGGGTCTCGCGTGCCGGCACGCAAGCAACCGCGGCGCGGTGAGGGCGACTCGTGAAGCTATCACATCGTCAGCCGCTCTCCCGTGTCCCGTCCGTTTTTTACTGTTATTTACGGCGAGGAAAAAAAAAAAATTAAAAAAAAACTACGCGCCGGCCACGTCATTCCGCCGCCGCGTTATCTCGACCCGTTCATTCGTTCGCCGTACAACCGTTGTGTTCTCGCGCCCCGTCCCGTTCCGTTTCCGATCGTCTTGGCCGTGCGGTCGATTGTTTTCTTCCGCCCCAGGCCGTCCGCGGCACTCGAGTCCCGTCCACCCTCATCCTCCCCACACGTGGCGTCCACCGTCACATCATCCGGCACCCGTCTCGAGGCCTAGACGTCCACCGGTGGTCCCTTCATGCCGTCTTGACGAACGGCACACGCGCACACAGACACCTATCCAGTCACGACCTAGCGCAGACGTACTCGTTATCGGCGGCGGCAGTGGAACTCGGACCGTGACGACGACATGAACATATTTAGACTGTGCGGCGACTTGTCGCATCTGCTGGCCATCCTTTTGCTGCTGTTCAAGATATGGAAAACCCGGTCTTGCGCTGGTAACTAATTTCGTAATTTTGTGGTCGCGACGCGTTACCGATCGCCGACGTGTTCCATTTTCGCTTTTAGCAGGCAGTGGTTGAATAAAAGAATGTACTCGTGTTTACCAATTGAACCGCCCCATCCGAAAACGTAAAGAATGTGGTCGGTTATTATCTCGCATTTTTTCCTCTCCTGGGTCCACGGCACCCGCGACAACCGGGCATCACAATCTTGGCCCACGGTTGTTGCTGCCATCGACCGACAGTAATGACCGACCGTCTGTAAGACCCCGAGGGATGGCACGAACGAGTTTTGCGTGTTGTCTTCGATAGTCTTTTTACAAAATATTTGTGTTCACCCTAAGAATATCCTTTTTGTTTGCATTTAATTATTAATTATTTTCCCTTTGATTAAATCTAAATTCTAAAAACTTTAAACATTAAAATTATTGTTTTTCTTTCTTTTTAATATCATATAAGATAGATGATTAATGGTTTTTATTTTTTTTTTCGGTTTGATTTAAATATTTAATTAGTGTCATTAATATTAGATTCAATTAGAATGATAATCTTTGAAATATTTATACGAGGTACACACCTTCATTTTTAATGCTTGTGTTTTAATAATTATTCCAAACCTTTTGTTCCAGTTTGGTAAATCCATTTGATTTAAAATAACTACTTAAATCTTTTAAGTATTATGAAATTCTATCCCAATACAAATTTTGAAAGTATGAAAGTTAACAGTTTTCCCTTAATTATCTGTGTTCATTTTTTTTTTTTTAAGTTGTGTACAGTCAAATTGAGAATAACTTAATTACTTTTAATTTTAATTTATTTTAAAAACATGGATATTTTCATCTCCCCATATAGATATGCCGTCACCACTCAATTGTATATGTAGCGTCATTTAGCTGCATTCAGTTATATTTCAACAAATATGATATAAATTATAAATATAGTTCTATATTTTAAGAAATGTAAAAAAATAACTATGAATACATTTATTATTTTTAGGTATTTCAGGAAAAACTCAATTACTTTTTACAATTGTTTATACTGCAAGATATCTAGATTTGTTTACAAGTTTTGTATCTGTGTATAACAGTGTTATGAAAATTGTGTTTCTAACTGCTTCATATGGAACATTATACCTAATGTTCTACAAATTCAAGCCAACATATGACCACAATCATGATAGTTTTAGGTATTTATGAAATATTAATTTATTTTTTATATTTATTATGTTTGAAAAACTTTTTTATTTTTAGAATCCTGTACTTAATTGTACCAGCCTTGGTGTTATCATTTATAATTGTACATGTTTACACTGTGATGGAGGTAAGTTTTGAAATATAAGAATTTTTTTATGTAGTATACATAAATTACAAAAAATATTTTGAATTTTAGATTTTGTGGACATTTAGTATTTATTTGGAAGCAGTTGCGATCATGCCACAATTGTTTATGGTGTCTCGAACAGGCGAAGCAGAAACTATAACTTCCCACTATTTGTTTGCTTTAGGCTCATACAGAGCACTTTATATATTAAATTGGATCTATCGTTATTACACTGAGGATTTCCTTGATTGGATTACAATTATGGCTGGAATTGTACAAACCATCTTATACTGCGATTTCTTTTATCTCTATATAACCAAAGGTACATAGTGAACATTTACACTCATAATTATTTAAAACTTACACATTATAATTATTGTTTTTAAATGTTCTAGTGTTAAAAGGAAAACGATTGTCATTACCCGTCTAATCGCAAAATAAAGACCTCAGACCACAGTGTTATTATGAAACAGACTATTGTATGATTTTACATATTTTTTCATGTTTCTTGAGTTTTATTTTTGTATATAAATCAATAGTTTACACCCATGGATATTACTATGCGTTATTGGATATCATATGAATCAGAGTATAAAATATATTTTGTTTTGATTCCTAAGATACATGGAATAATTATACTGAATTACTATCAATTATGATAGTCATTTTTCTGTTTTTTTCTTTATAGCACAATATTTTCAATATAATATATATGTATATTGTAAATATATTTATTTTTAACTAATTTATATTTTTTTTTAGTCATGCTTGGTCAAATAAATTTCCATTTTATTATTTATTTGAGTGTTTCATGGAATTAAATTGTATTAACAATTTATTCGTTCTGTGAAATGGGTTAATAATTCGTTTATTTACTAAATGAATTCCATTTTTAATTTATTATTATTATAATGTTATTAAAATTATAAAGTTTTATTAACTATATTTATTTCCTCAAACTGTTAATAATTGTTAATGTAAATTATTGAATTTATTAAAATTAATTTTGAAATATTTGTAATATGTTATTTTTCCAAAGATGTTAATAGATAATATTTATACAGTAGAACTTAAAATATTCAATACAAATATTTGGATATTTTCTGTGCATACTAAATAAACTTAAAATAATTATTTTAATAATATTTATAGATTATTGGTAAACTATTCTATTGAGTAATTAAGATTTTACTGTTTGTTTAATAATTAAAATAATTACATAAGAATATATTTTTTCCACCAAATATAATTTGTAAAATTTAAAGATATTTTACTTATTTATGTATGCTGTATAGAAAAACAATGTATTGATGAAATCAGATTTCTAGTTTTTAATCTTGATTAAATTTGGTCCTATATTTTTCTTATATTGAAATCTAAAGTATTTTTATTTCCGTTAATTGAATTACGAATTTTTAAACATAATTAATTTATCATTAATTATAATCGCCAGTGTAAATATTTGATAAAAATAGATGATGACCAATATTAGTTTAGCAAAAATGTTATAAATTTATTTTATTATGAACTATTGATAATAATCAATGATATAAACCAATTGGCGATCTTTTAATTACTTATGTATAAGTGTTGTAACTATTTGGTCTTTCGTAAAGAAGATTCACAGTTGATTTCCGAAAATTGTTACATGTATGAGAAGGTATTATACGTACACGTAGCGTAATAATGTTCAAAAA